TTGCGGCTGATCATTTGGTCAAGTTGAGACATGTCATCCTTCTTCTTTATTCATTTGGGAAGCTAGTCCTAGTTCCTTATTTTTTATTCTTTGGGCTGGTGCTTATAGTATTGGCTTTTTGAGATAGGTTTCTGCTTTTTGTTCTGCTCTTCTTTTGCCACAAAAAAAAAAAAAAAAAAATCATCCAATTTGATTTAAGAGCTTCTAACATGTCCTACCGGGAAATGTACCTTTAACATAAACGTTAAAATTTTAATTTTAATTAAAAAAAAAAAAAAAAAAGCATTCTCTTATCATCCAATTTGATTTAAGAGCTTCTAACATGTCCTACCAGAAAATGTACCTTTAACATAAAAACGTTAAAATTTTAATTTTTAAGTTTTAGAGTATCTTTAATGCCAGGATGGATTATTCTTATCTAAGAGTTATATCAGAAGAATGGAGAGATTTTATCAATGTTTAAAAATTACAAAGAATAATTTATTAAAATTTATTGACAAAAAAATTATTAAAATTAAAATATTATTAAATATCTTGCATAATAATTAAAAATATTAAAATAATAGAAAAATAGACTTTAAAAACTACATAAATAATTAATTACATAACTAAAATTAGTAATAAAAAGAATCTGAAGATTTTTTTTTTTGTTATTTTTATAAAAAGATTACTTAAGTTCATTCTATGTATAAAAAGCAACTCAAAAACTATAAAATTAATTATATAGCCTGCCAGTTAAGCTACGCTAAAATTTGCATAATAAATAAAAGTAAATCTAATTAAAAAATAAAAAATACACTTTAAGAATTAAATAACTAAAATTAGTAATAGAGAAAATAATACAAAAACTTAATTAACATAATATGTAAAATTAAATCTTAAAACTTAGAAAAATTTATTATAATAACTAAAATTAATATTAGAGAAATAAAAAACAATAAAAAAAGTCAAACAATAACTCTCCTTATCTAAACCTCTTTTGTCTCTCTTTCTTGTGTTCTTTTAGATTTTATTTTTAAATCACCGCCGACCGTCTTCTTTGGTCTGTGATGGTTTCTTTTCATCATTCTCTATCGTTTTTATTTATTTTGTTTAGTTTTCTTTTTAATATTTTTCAAACCTATAATCATTTAGAACAAATTTGGATTTAGTCTCTCAGATTTGCAGATCTTGAGTGTTTTTGCTACCCTCTTAGTGGAGTTATTAATTTATTTCCTTTCATGGGTTATTCCTCATTGTTGAGGAGTTCTTATATGAATATTTTATTTTTCAAGTAGTTCGAAAGATAAGATGGATTGTTGATTGCTTGTGGTTGAAAACCTCAAATCTTCAATTTTAGATAAGTTTCTTTTATCAATAGAGCCTGGTAGTGCTGACTGTTCCCCAATAAAATTTGATATATTAAACTTTTACGAGTGTCTGTAACAAGTTTTCAAAAAAAAAAAAAACAATATTCATAACAATATTGTGGAAGGTTTCTTTTGTCGTCCTATTTAAAAATGTATCCGTTTTTTACCTGAAAGATTAATCTCTTCTGCCAAGATCAAGAATATCTCCAAATAAACGATTTTAATTTTCTATATTTGTGTTTCTTATACCTATCGGAATATTATGATGTATCCAATTTATATTCATTATTAATAAATTATTAACTTAAAAAAAAAAAAATCCTCTTTTGTATAGATATGTTAATTATTGTAAACTCAACGGCGGCGCTGCCATGGAAACTATGGTATCTGAAGATATTGTGGCGAGATATTCTTAAAGCTACAGGTAAAATTGCTTGTGCGTTTCAAGTCCATATCAAAATCATTCGATTCTTTAATCTCCAGTCCATACTTCATCAAATCACACCTCCACCGCCTTTCCCAATTTGAATCATCCAAATTTGTACGTGTTTAGCGTTTCTATGATCTTATTCAGGAGAAGCCACGCCAATCCAGTGTCCCTTAGAGCAATAACTGCCTTATTGAAGAACAAGTATTTTGGGGTTTTATCGTCCATTCATTGAAATCTAATTCTCTGCGAAAGACACTAGATTCTAAGTTCGAATTTCTATTTTATCGTCAGGAAACCTATACCCGTTCAGAAGAGGATTTGCTTGTTATAAATAAATTAACGTTCTCTCTACAGGAGCAAATCCATTAGATCACATAGCCATGGAAGAGAAAGTAGAAGCTGATTCAGTTGATTATATATCAGAATTATCTGCGCCAATATTGCATCACATCTTATCTTTACTTCCCATCAAAGAAATTGTTCGAACCAGTTTATTGTCGAAGACTTGGTATGAGCTATGGAACACCTACTCCTGCATTCTGGAGTTCGACTTTTTTGCATTCTTTAGAGAGAATATGGAACTTTACTATTTCCCAGATGAAGAAACAAAAGAAAGGAACCGTCAACGGCTATATAATTTTGTTGAGTAAATCTTATTAAGCCGTAGCAGACAGATGATAAGTTTTGGCAAGTTTACTGTTGTGATGCCCTTTGTTTACCAACCCCCACAAGTGGTATCTTTTATGGACAGATGGATTGGGTATGTTGTGCAGAGTAATTTCAGAGAATTGAAAATTACCGTTGGTCCATTTATGGATGATGAAAAATACAAGTGTAACTTGTCTCATTCTTTTTTTTTTTTTTGACATTTGTCTCATTCTGTTCTTAGTGCAGAATCTATACAAAAATTATTCTTGCATGACTGCAACTTGGAGTTACCCTGTAGTGACAATTTTGTTGAGCTATCTTTCCTCACAAACTTGAACCTTTTTACAGTCTATCTAGATGATAACTTAATCAGCAAACTAATTGCTGGATGTCCTCTGATTGAAGATCTCACTCTCCGTAACTGTTATGGTTTCAAGACTCTACATGTTCTTGATCTTCCTAAACTTGTCAGAATTAGTGTAGAACAACATGAGGAACTCGAGAATCTCGAAATAAAGGGGCCAAATCTTAGATTAATTTATCTACAAGGTACTAGGCGATCCTAGCCCGCTAAGGTAATGTTGGGTTCTTGCCCAATATTGAAGGAATTAATGATATCATATGCTACTATCACCGATAAATGGCTTCATGAGCATTTGAATAATTTTCCTGTCCTCAGATATTTGACTTTGTTCAATTGCCCTATGCTAGAGAGTATTAAGATTCCGAGTTCTGGTTCTCATCTTCTTAAATTAATCATTAATGAATATAAGAAGGTAGCTAGAGTTGAGATTGATGGACCTAACCTGCAAATCTTTTGGTATGAGGGCGATATAATTTCATTTTCTTCAAATGGTTGGATTCTTGAACATGTTTCTTTCCGTTTCAAATCTGAGTCTGAAAATAGGGGCATTCATTACTATACTGGAATAATTGAATTGCTTGCCAAGTTGAATCAATTTTCCAAGAAATTGAGTTTGGGAGGTCTAACTGGTGAGGTATGTCAAAAAAAAAAGATTATTTCCTTTAATTATTTGAATCTTTTCTTTTAATATAGTATAAAGAATCTGATTATGCAATATTACTAACGATTTTGTTTTGGTTGTCTAGTGTTACATAATTCCAAAGGAACTGAGACAATCCCTGACTTGTCGACTGAGTAAGATTGAAAACTTGTATATTTCAATTTTACCTTCAAGTGAGAGTTATTCAATTGCACAGCTTGTGGATTCTTTGCTTTGGATTTTTCCTCGCATAATAGTCTAACAATAAAATCCATTATGAGATCTTCTTTCAAGGTATGTATGATGTTTTACTATATATATATCCATTTGAGATCTTCTTTCAAGGTATGTATTGATGTTTTACTATATATATATAATATATATATAATATATAAATATATATATGTTTATGCCTTTCATTTTAATTTATTGAGTCTTAATAGCATCAATGATTCAGGCAATTAAGCTTTCTTATATTGATATTACATGTTAATTTCAGTTCTTATATATGTTTATGCCTTTCATTTTAATTTATTGAAGTCTTAATAGCATCAACTGATCAGGCAATTAAGCTTTCTTATATGTATTACATGTTAATTTCAGTTCTTGTATCGGAAGCCAACAACTTGTGAGGAGGAGACTCCATTTTATAATTCCCTTCCTGTCTCATGTTGGCAACATTGCATAGAGGATGTAAACATAAAACAATTTTTTCATAACGAAGATAGAAAAGAAGAAAAGGAGCACATATTCAATCAAGATGGTTGGGAAAAAAAAAAATCCAAGGTGGTATCTTAGATATCATCCATCCGCAGTCTACAATCTGCTCAACCTTAAATTCCTCTTATGATGTTTTTGCTGGAATTGAGTTTGCATGTCCCAGCAAAAGTAAGGAACTCCATTTGGTGATCTTGCAGAGGACCATTGCCGACAAGGGATATTTTAGCTCATAGAGATGTACCTTTGATTGCTAATTGTTCTTTCTGTGGTCATCTGGAAACCGCTCTTCATGCTCTTACGAATTGTGAAAGATCATCTATATATGTGTTGGGTTATGCATGGTTTTTCTTCACCTGATGGATCATGTCGCAGTTTTCGGGGATGTTTCCAATTAGTTCTGTCAAATGTAATGTATGATAAGGCGAACTTCAAAGAGTTAATTTTGCTGCTGTCAATGTTCCTGTTTCTGCTGTAATTACATTGCAAAAACCAGCAAATGGTTAATTAAATTAGAAATTTTAATATTTATTTTTATTTTTAAAAACGATTAATATTTTTACATATTATTTTTAAACATTCTTAAAAGTATTATGAGTTATAGTCTATAATTATTAAATTAATTTTAAATTTTAACTTATATATTTTAATTTATAGCCTATAATTATGTTGCAGATTATGAAAAAAAAAGAGTATGAAAATCATTTTTTTTATCTATTTGGATAGCTTTGTAATCGCAACTGCCAATCACTTTTCACCGTGAGCTATCGGTTGTGACAGGCATGTAACTTTAACATGAACCTCCGCAGTGAATAATTTGCAAGATAAGCTGATGATAGGCGCATTAACTTCATGACCGCGCTTTCCATTTTCCATTCAAGACCAACCGTTGCCTTTCTTCTTGCTCAAAACACCATTGACAAATAGGATACTAACTCACCAACTCTCAATTTACCCTCCAATTCAATGGCTATATACTCTCAGGCCCACATTTGCCAGTGCTTGACTCGCTTATCGACTCTCCGTCGAAATTCCGTCATCACAATCACCGCCAAACGACAAAAGACCGGAGACCAGTTTGTTACAGACGTCTTGAGTCTGGCTCGTGGACTTCTTGAACTTGGCCTCAGGAGCGGCGACATTGTCGCAATCTGTGCCTTTAACAGGTTCCACCTCTGTAGCCCATATCTCTCTATATTGTATATTCATAACGGACGTTAACGGCGGATATTTTCAGTGATTGTTATTTGGAGTGGTTATTGGCGGTGGCCTACGTGGGCGGCATAGTGGCTCTTTTGAATTATCGATGGGTAAGCATGTAGACTGTAGAGTAGTCTTTTGGTCAATGCCTATGAAGGTGAAATTTAAAATTGGGTTGCAGAGCTTTGAAGAGGCAAAATCAGCAATGTTGAGTGTGGAGCCAGTGATGCTGGTGAGCGATGAGAGTTGTAATTTCTGGAATTTAGAGCTCTATAGTGATACTATACCTTCATTAAGGTGGCGTGTCGTTTTGGGTTCCTCTTCTTTTGATTTGACTGAAGCATCAAATAGTATGTCGTTTCCTTCCTTCCTTATTGCTAATTTTCTTTGTTGAGAGTTAAAGATTTCATCTTTAATAATTCAGTGATTGAGGTTATAATTTTGTGGATTTTCCTTCATTTTTTTGACAGTCTTAACTGCTGAAACGCTTAGTATGCACAGCGTAAGATCTCTACCATTGAATTATTCTTGGGCACCGGAGGGCGCTGTCATGATATGCTTCACTTCAGGTATTTGTGCATTTTCAATTTGTTGTTTACTATTTACCCCCAGAGTATCTTGTTTTCGAAAGTTCAATCTGCTAAAACGTATTTCTGATATGAAAGGGTACTGAATTTTTATGGGAAAACTGTGCTCCATTGAAGTAAAGAAAAGGGAAAGGCCTTTCTAGTGGGGACCAGGAAAACTGCCCTGCTCTTTCTTTTTCTTCTTCTTTTTTAAGGTTCATCCATTGTAATTCATTAAGCCTTATCAGGGATGGAGTAGAAGAGAAATAGTATAGAATTGATAGCTCAGTAATTCCAGCAATTTACAGGGATTCCCAAAAAAAATTCTTTTTCCTTATGATTTCAACTTTCTGTTGCCTGCTTTGGTTTCTTTTAGGCCATTTAACCAATTAGCACTAAAAATCAGTTATCAAAATCAATAAAATACAACTTTTCTACCTAAAAATTGAGAAATCTGTCAATTGTCATTGTAAGTTAGGATTTGGAGGTACAAGCCACAATCAGAAATATTTTAGTGGAGTCACTTAAAATTTCTCTTTTTAGCTAAACTTGGGTAACTTAGTTTGGAAGTCTGAGAGGTTTGTAACATTTCGCTTCCCCAAATCACCTTTTTACCTGAAGCGTCATTCCAAAAGCATGGCAGCAAAGTTATGGAAAAAGAAACTATCTTCAATACTCAAATATGAAATTAAGCCGAGATTTTTTAGCCATTTTCTTTCATCTTCCTCCTCAATAGAACCTAACTGGCACAGAAAATCTATCTGTCTTATTAATATTTTAGCTTTATTGTTTTATTGCTATAGGAACGACTGGAAGACCAAAAGGAGTTGTCATAAGCCACTCAGCTTTGATAGTACAATCCTTAGCAAAAGTTGCCATTGTTGGTTACTGTGAGGATGATGTATGCTATCTCTCAATAATTTTTCTATGCAGTCTAATGTACGAAGGATATTGTAATTTGAAGGGCATAAGAATAATTGAAAATACAAAGCATTGAGGCTTTCTGAATCTTAAGTGGAGTTGCATTCATAAAGACAGAAGAACTCTGATACCACTGAAGAAATAATGCCTGATTCCATTCCTTATTTTGCGGATTTCTGCAGGTTTATTTGCACATTTCTCCACTGTGCCATATTGGTGGATTGTCATCTGCAATAGCTATGCTAATGATTGGAGCTTGCCATATCTTGATACCCAAGTTTGAAGCTGCATTAGCTATAGAAGTCATAGAGAAATACTGTGTGACTTCTCTAATCACTGTCCCCGCAATAATGGGTGATTTGATTTCCTTCACCAGGTAATCATAGGATCCAATCAGTAATACAAACTGATGTTATTATTTAGGCTGCTTGGAGGCAATTATATTTGATATTGGAACTGCTGCCTAGCCTTTCTTTTTCTGCCCCCTGTATGCACCATACATGTTAGCAATTTTATAGTAGAAATCTTGTGCAATTTCTTAGCTCATGCTTAGAGACCTTGTTTTCTGACACTAAGCCTTGCCAAAAGAAGTTCTTTTTTTCAATTCTTCCCCCCCTTCACAACAGTAACCACATCTTTAATGTTTGGTTTATTTGGTAATTTTGTTGTATGGTAGTCAGTTTGCTCAGTATATTTTCCAGAGATATTTTGTCAGGGGAAAGGAAATTTGGCAAGGTAGTCAAACTGTGAAGAAAATATTAAATGGAGGTGGGAGTCTGTCGGTTGGGCTGATAAAAGATGCTATCAAATTCTTCCCAAGGGCAAAGCTTCTTTCAGCTTATGGTAAGTAATTTTTCCTTCTCTGTTTCTGTCACTCATGTGAATGTATTCTGCAACCGTTTAATGAAATTGAATGATTGCTGTATCTCTTCTTTAAATGATCTCTCGACGAAACTCGAAACCTTTTAAGTGTGAGTTTGTTTGAAAGATACCTTAAGCAATCTGTTAATTACTCCTTGTTTCTTCCATACATTAACCTCTAGAATGCTAAAGATTGAGCAATGTAACTGCACAAAGAGTTGGCATCTCCAATTTGTTGCAATCCTTTTGTCTCTTAAAGTGGTAATGTGGCTCTAGAACGGAGAACAAATTTTTCAAGCCTATTGTGCTATTGCTAAAGAGTATCTTGGTTAGGCTCATGAACATATTTTGAATTTTGAGTCCCATCACACATAGATAGCCATGCTCATTAAGGGCACTGGAGTTTGAATCAAACTTAAATGAGCCAAATTCATGAAACCAAGTTAAGTTTAAAGAACTTAGACTAATTGTTTTAATATATGTTATCCATCAGTCCATGAATTTATATGAACTGACAACTATTCCGTTTACTAGATGTATTAGTGTTCTTACTCTTCTTTTTTCACTTTCCTTTTTATCTTGAAGGAATGACTGAGAGCTGCTCTTCTCTAACCTTCATGACGCACTACGATCCAAGAATTAAAATCCCTGGTCAGACATATAGTAAAAGGAAATCTAATTCTGTTAACCAACTGCAAGGCGTATGTGTTGGCAAACCTGCACCACATGTGGAACTGAAAATATGTACTGATGGCTCTTCTTCTCAAATTGGGAGAATTTTAACTAGAGGCCCACATGTAATGCTTAGATATTACAATCAAAATCCGTCAAATGCACTAAACTATCCCAATGAGGATTGGCTTGACACAGGTGACATTGGTTCCATAGATGACTCTGGTAATTTATGGCTCATTGGACGGTCAAATAATCGTATCAAGAGTGGCGGGGAGAATGTTCACCCGGAAGAGGTCAGTGTGCTATACAATAAAGTAATAGGTTCTAACATTTCTATTCCTTGCTATTTGCTATGACGGGACAAAAATTTTGGCTTCATGTTATTAATGTGTGTCGGTGATTCTTTTTTTTTTTTTTTTTTTTTTTTTTTTTTTTTTTTTTTTATAGGTTCTAACATTTCTATTCCTTGCTATTTGCTTATGACGGGGACAAAAATTTTGGCTTCATGTTATTAATGTGTGTCGGTGATTCTTTTTTTTTTTTTTTTTTTTTTTTTTTTTTTTTTTTTTTTTTTTTTTTTTTTTTTTTTTTTTTTTTTATGTTCCCTGCTGTAAAGTGCAATATTTTGGTGATGCAGGTGGAAGCAATCTTGTTGCAACATCCAGGAATTGTTGCTGCCATTGTTCTGGGAATTCCAGATTCTCGCCTGTCAGAGATGGTTGTTGCTTGTATTAAATTAAGGCAAGGTTGGCGATGGTTGGACAGCAATTATAGACCCCTTGATGAAAATGAACTACTCTTATGCAGTGAGATTCTCCATAAGTACTGCAGAGAGAAGAACTTGTCCGGGTATTGCTCATCCTAAGGTCATTCTATAAATGCCAATCCAGCCATTTTGGCTGGAAACTGCAGCAAACCATAATTAGCATACTAATCCTAGCATTTTAAAATTATTAATTTTAATCCCTGAAGTGTTAATACCTAATACTTCATCCTTATATATAAAATTATGAATTTTTCACTAATACTTTAGCCTTTGTCTGAATCCTGAGCCGGGGACACGTCATCAAATGTCCGAGCGAAAATCATGGGCTATTAAATGAAAATCTTGACTGAGCATTATATATTTTGAATGAGATATGTAACGCAATGTGTCAAATGCAAAGAAATTTTAAAATATAAGTGTAATTAGTCCTTGAATTAATATATTAAAAGACATTTAGTCACTTTACAAGACAAGAAATATTGGCTTTTGCAACCTAGTCAGTTGTATTTTCTATTCTTCACATAAACATTTAGTTGCTTACTATTGTTTTTATAATCTATCTTTGCAGGTTTAAAGTACCAAAAAAATTCATCTTATGGAGGAAGCCATTTCCCCTCACAACTACTGGAAAGATAAGAAGAGATCAAATTCGAAGAGAAGCAATGTCCCATCTTCAGTTCTTGTCCTGTAACCTTTAGTGCTGCACCAGCTAAATAGCTAATTTTATCACCACATTGGTGGGAACAAGAATGATGGACAGAGCTTTGGGAAACGTCATTTGGCAAAACCATTTTCCTAATTATCAAGTCTAGAATTTAGTCTCAAGTATGTTCGATCACTCTCTTCTTCTCATTCTTACTACCCCCAGAATAAAAAATCTGAGGCACCAACGCTTTCAGTTTGAGAATTTTTGGCTAGAGGAATCTGATGTGGACGTTGTGGTTAGAGAGAGTTGGACCAGTTATGACGGTGTTGATGTAACGGGGAAGATAAAGGTTTGTGGACAACGTCTACAGAGCTGGGGTAGGAGACTAAAGCTTCAGTTTAGATAGGATGCCAAGCAGTTGACAGTGCAGCTTGAGAATCCTCGGATCAACGGTAATATTGAACAGTTTGAAGGTTTGCAGTGTAAGCTTGATGATGTTCTGCACCGTAAAGAGGTCTTCTGGTCTCAAAGAGCGAAATCCCATTGGTTGAAATCAGAGGATATGAACTCTAGGTACTTCCACGCAACTGCTAAAAAACAGAAGAAATCCAAGCAGATTTTTCGGCTGAAGGAAGCAAATGGCGAGTGGATAAGTGACAACAATCTGTTGACAGGTATGGTGAGTGATTATTTTGTTAATCTATTTGAGGCAGGGGATGCTGACTTAAGTCCTGTTGTGGGTTTATTCTCTCCTTTGGTTTTGGATAATGATAATTTTATGCTACTTGGAGATATTTCAGTGGATGAGGTTAAATTAGTAGTGAAACAAATGCATGCGGATAAAAGCCCAGGGATGGATGGACTAAATCCTAGATTCTACTAGAGGTTTTGGGATATTTTGGGCCATGATGTTGTTCAAGGTCGTTGAGACTGGTTTAATGCAGGTGTTTTTCCAGATAATCTGAACGATACCTTAATTGTGCTGATTCCAAAAGTAGAAGACCCAGAGGTAGTGAAGGACTTTCGACCTATTTCACTTTGTAACGTAGTTTACAAAGTGTTTGCTAAGATTCTGGCAAACAGGCTGAAGACCATCCTACCTAGTCTTATCTCATTATCTCAGTCGGTTTTTGTCCCGGGCCGGTTGATTTCAGATAATGTGTTAGTTGCTTTCGAATTAATCCACTCTATGAAATCCAAAATGACCAGTCGATGAGGAGCTTCCGCACTAAAAGTTGATATTTCTAAAGCCTATGACAGAGTTAACTGGTGCTATTTACGAGCTGTTATGCAGGGCTTGGGTTTTAGCCAGCGTTGGGTTGACTTGATCATGTTTGTGTTTCCTTTGTTAAATATTGGGTTGGAGTGAATGGGGATGAGGTTGGCCCAATTATCCCAGGACGGGGATTGAGACAAGGTTGTCCATTATCTCCCTACTTATTTATACTATGTGCTGAAGGACTGTCAAAGCTGTTTAGTAAGTCTGAAAATGAAGGTCGTCTCCAAGGCTGTAAAGTCTCGAGAGCTACGCCTCGGCTATCTCACTTGTTGTTTGCGGATGATAGTTTGTTCTTGTTTGAGGCATCACGGATTCAAGCTTTAGAGATAAAAAATATTCTAGTTACTTACGAAGCAGCTTCGGGTCAAGCGGTAAATTGAAAAAAATTCAGTATTTGGTATTTTCTTCAGCTCAAACACTTCTGAACCGGACAAGGATGCCGTTAATGGAGTTTTTGGTGTGCTTGCTCCTTTAAACCACGGAAGGTATCTAGGCTTGCCCTCATTAATTGGCCGGGAAACGAGGCGCATTTTTTCTTTCTTGAAGGATCGAGTGAGGAAGTTGGTCAGTGGTTGGAACCAGAAACTTCTATCCAAAGCGGGTAAAGAGGTGCTAATAAAGTCTGTGGCACAAGCTATTCCTTCATTCTGTATGAGTGCTTTCCTTATACCGGTATCCATCTTACAGGAGATTCAGAGGTTAATGAATTCTGGGGAGGAAAGATGAGATGGTTGAGTTGGGAAAGGCTGTTTGTAGCGAGGGAAAAAGGAGGTTTAGGCTTCAGACATTTGCAAAGTTTCAATCTAGCCATGCTAGGAAAACACTGTTGGAGGCTTTTACATAATACAAAATTCTCTTCTTTATAGTTCTTTCAAATCTAAATATTTCCCAAGTGGGGATTTTCTTGGTGCAAGTGTTGGCCGTAATCCAAGTTTTGTATGGAGAGGAATTTATGCAGCTAAGGATGCTATTTGTTCAGGTTAATTTGTGCAGCTAAGGATGGTATTTCGTTCAGGTTTCGGTGGAGAATTGGAGTATGGTTCAGTCAAGTAATTTTGGACCGAGCCAGGCATTGAGGGATAACCAGTCCGCATTAACTTGCCTATTCTTCCTGGTTTGAGAAATTAAGGGTATTCAGACCTTTTTTGCAACAAGGGGAACGCTGCTATGGAATTTGCCCTTGATTACAAGGTCTTTTCAATTCTTCAATTGCTGAACTTATTGCTTCCATTCTTTAGCTACAAACATTCAGAAGACCACCTGTATATGGCACTGGACAGGACTCAGGGTATATTCTGTGAAATCTGGTTACAAATAGTAAGTGTAGCATCTCAATGTGTGGATATTGAAGATAATTTGCAGTCCAATTTTTGGAAAGCTCTTTGGTCTCTGAAAATTCCGCCGAAAGTGAGGCATTTCCTCTGGAGGTGCTGCCGAGACATTCTGCCAGTTAAAACAACTTTGGAAAGAAGGGGAATAGAGCTTGATACAGGATGCGATTACTGTGGTGCAGCTGAAACGTTAGCTCACCCTCTTGTTGCGTGCCCAAAAGCAAGATTTTGTTGGCAGTTTTTTGGTGTTCAACCAAATATTGGCAATTTTCCAAATTTCTTACAGATGTTCGAACACTTGCACAAGGTGTGGGAAAGCGACTTTTTTGAGAGTTTTATTATGGGTCTATGGGGTCTATGAGTATTTGGCTGAGCCGTATGATCTCAAGAACCAATGAATTGTAGGACCTTATCATGGGGTTACTCGAGCTAGAAGTTTGCTCGCATCTTGGAAGAAAGCCCACTAAAGCGGTCATGTTAGCTTATGCATCGGTGCTTCTGACAAGTAGTCAATGGTTTCCACCACCCTTCTGCGCACTTTTAAATTAAACTTTGATGCCCTCTTCTCCCCTCCGCTGGGCATGGAGCAGTCGGTGTCTGTACTCTCAAACTGCGCTTTGCAGGTTCCTGTATCAACAGCAACGTGCTTCCTGCATGGCTGCTCTTCTCCAGCAGTAGAGAAGCCTCAGGCAGTTAAGAAGAGTTGTATATCCTGGTGCGTCGGCCACCATACTTTGACGATTCAGGTTGAGAGCCGATTGCCTCAAGTCTATCATGCATGAGAGTTCTGTCACGACTGGTCCGAGTTGGTTGTCATTCTGAATTAAGCTACTCTAGTCCAATTGCCTAATGTCAAACTGGCTTGATTAGAAACAAAGCAAAATGATCTAGCTTCTCACGTTGTTGGCTTTAAATCCGTCCCCAAGTGGGCTTGTTTTCAAACTTGGATAGTTGTTCCCGATGTATCGCTCGTGTTTTCTCTTATTAATAAATCCATAATTCAAAGTCAAAAAAAAAAAAAAAAAAAAAAAAAAAAATCTCTACCACACACTATGAGTAGCTTCGCTACTTATCGTGCATAATTTTTTTATAACCATGTTAATGAATTTTGTTATTTGATAATGTTTGTTGTTATATTTTAGTGGTCAATGCTTCAATTCTTATTTTGGCGGTTACTGTTTATTGTTAATGTTTCTCTATTATATCGTGAATTAGGCGGTTTTCATATTTCACACGACAGTACAGTATTATTTTTTAGGTATAAGATATGTGTATCGAATAAATTATTAAAAAAAATTAAAATATACAATATATAGAAAGTATGATTTAAATGTATCATGTAGAATTAAAATTTTTATTGTAATTAAAATAAAACATCACTTTGCAAGTGAAAAAAAAAAATCTTATTTAATTTGAGATGGCTAAGGCATCATTTTATCAAATCAAATCAATTTTTGCCTTTGTTGAACTAAATTCCACGTAAAGAATACCCTCTTGAAGCTAAATTCCGGTTTCATTATTTGGCTGAATAACAAAAGTCATAAATTTAAAAGATGTTTTTTTTTTTTTAAATGAAATTATGTTATTTAAATCCTATCATTAATAATAAAAAAAAGATTAAATTTTCTCCCACCTCTTATGTGAGATTTTTTTTTTCCTTCTAAAATACTGAAATTAGGTCATAATGGAATCCAACAACATTCTATGGATTACGCCATTACGCCCTATTTTTTCTCAATTAAACGAAATAGTTTGACAAATTCATAAAATACCAAGTTCTACGGTTCAAATTTTATCAAGCTATATGTTGGGATATTCTCCTAAGTCCCTCAGAAAAAATTGAGAAGAGAAACCAAAATATAATGATTCAAATTCAATCCATTAGTATGAGGCCTTTTGGGAAGTGTCTAAAAACAAATTCATGAGGGCTTGGCCCAAAGCGGACAATATCATACTAATCCGGGGTTGGATGAAGGTACACGCGGTCCCATCACTATACAACCTTTATAATTCAATTAACATAGATGAGTTATTATTTTGGCATTTGAATCAATTAACGGACTAATTATTATTATGAAGATTTATATCTTTTATCAAGATAAACTCAAAACAGAAATTATAATATTATACTCATTTCGTTCCATTTTGTTTGCTTGTTATTCATTTTTTAGATGTCTCAAAATGTTTGCAAGGTTTCTAAATTCAGACACGTAAACAATTATTTTTCCCATCATGATCTTTATAATTGTTCATTGAATGAAGGGTTTTTAGTATCTTAATGTGCTATTAAGGGTAAAATAACTTTTGTCGACTAAATTTTCAATATGCGTGTTTTGTCAAATCATGCATTTTGTCAAATCATGCAAACAAAATGAGACAGAGGGAATATTTTATAGTTTTAGTTTTATTATTTAAAAGGATATGAATTTCTTTATTTCGTTAAAAGATCAGCAAACTCTATTAGTTAGTAATAGTAAAATTTATGTCTGGTCTATATGCTCATTCATAATTCTTGCTATTATTATTAATGAATTACATTTCAAAAAAATTAATGATAATTGTTAATTGTGAATTAAATAAGGAATTTTTAAAATTTTCTTGAGACTTAAATAATTAATTGCATTAATGAGTTCTTAAGTTTCATTAACGGTTAAATAAGAGTAAAAAAAATTATTAGAAATCCTAGCCGCGCTTTCTTTCTTTCTCTGTTTTTTCTTTTTTCCATTAAATCACTTTCTCTTTAAAGCCCAAAAATCAATAATGTAGATATTGGAAGAGCCATTCATATCTCTTATGACTATTAATATCGAAATTAAATTGCATATCTTTGTATTTTTGAAACTACATTAATATATCCTAAATTTTGCTTCCATTAGACTATTTTATCTTTCCGTCCATATTTTATTTTTTTCTGGTTAAATACTTAATGAAAAGGCAAACACACTCTAGGAGAATGCTTTTCTTCTTCTTGTTAGCATTAACATGCAAAAAGCAATTGTGCCTCCTTTTGGCGGATTTTTGATCGATCTTCAATGAACTCCAGTCATAGTAGCCGTGAAACCCTCTTCTCAACCTCCATTTCTCATTTCTACTATTAATTTCATTTTTCTTTTTTTAAAGTGTGGAATGCAAATTAAAAATAATAGATAGTTCATATTGCGGCGAAGTACTCTCTTTCTGGCGACTTTAAGGAACTGAGGTGAGCTAAAATCGATTCCTTATCACCTTTGAGTATTTTTATTTTTCTCTCTTTTTATTGAGACTTTAGACATATATAGCAAATCATCATTCTGTGAAGCAATTGTCGAGCATATATAGCCAAACGGCTTTAAAATATTTTAAATTGATTGCACATCTTGAATTCCCATGAAATTTCGAGTATTTTGGTGTGTAATTCATTGGATGCGTTTTAATTTTCTAACCATCATGCATGGTGGCCATCGCGGCAACACTCCGACAATTAGTTTTTCCAAAATACAGAGATATGCGAGTTAATTTTGATATTTTATAGGGACAAAATCAAAATTTTTCCTTTATCTCTCTCCTTTGACTAACCTTTTTGCATTTAATTAACGTGGAAAAGTGGAAAATTGGATGAAAGGATTTGATAGTAAGATGGAACGAAAATTTAGGGATATACTATTTATTTTTCAAAATACAAGGATATGCAAATTAATTTTGATATTTTATCTGGATAAAATTGTAATTTATCTTTATAATTTATCAAATAAATTCAAATGTATTTATTTGGCACAAATAAACATATTTTATGTTTTTATTTATTTATTTTATTGTTTTCTTGTGGTTTCACCTCCATCTTGTGTCCATTTTATATGGATTTTTTTTGGTGTTTGATTTGTTTTATTTGGATACGAGTATAATTTGTGGACAATTTATTTAATATATAATGATCTTTGTCTTCTGAAACCCTATTCCTTTGGTATGTTTAGTGATTCAAATTATTTGTGTTGATTATAAGGTTAATTATTTTATGGATAAGCTTTTGTTGTTAAATTAAGTGTTTAAACCGTAGAATTCTTAACTCAATTGATTATTTTCTATCCATTTATTTACATTTTTTTTTACTAAGGAGAGTCTATATTCACGATTTTAAATTGCTTAAGGAATAAGAAAATTGTTAAACAATCTTAATAGTAGAAAAAAATGTACTTAAATTTAATCTTTTATCAAATTTCTAAATGATTAATACTTAGAAAAATATAAAAGGATAAAATTAAAAATTTTAATATTTTTTTTTGAATTTTATAGAATGATAGATAAAATGAGAAAAAAATTTGATATCTTATCACTTAAAATAGGAAAGTAGCAGGGTATAAATGAGCCCAGTCGAGCTCGAATCTGTCAGACTCGAAACTCGATTCGATAGGATTAGCTTGGCTCGAAACAAAATGATCCTAAAAATTTTAATCTCGAGCTCGAGTTCAGCTTGAAAAATTTTAAGCTCGGGTTGAAGTTCAAGTAAGTTTAAAATAAATTTATATGCATATATAAAATCTTAACATAGTTCGATAAGGTTTGATAAACTTTCATGTTTAACATTGTCATTAGGCTCGAGCTTAATTTGTTTGCCAAACGAGCTGGCTCGAACTTGATTAGAGTTGAATTTTTTAAAATTTTTTTTCCAACAGTTCACAAGTTTGCTGACTCACTTATATCCTCTAGAAAAGAGGGAGTGATTTGTAATTTCAAAGTAATAATCAACGGAAAAAAAAGTGCGTGTGCAACCTCCTTCGAGTACCGCGTTGGAATGTTCTCTTCCGCCTTCCTCCGACTTTCGTACCTGTAACAACATGATCACAAATGTGCCAAACGACTAACGCATTATAGACCTTACCTTCCTCTTCATGGATTCCTCGTTAAACAATAAACAAAACATAAATTAGAATTAGACAATTAATTATAAATTTATAATCTAAATAATCATCTTCACTAAATTTATTAATTATGATGTCATTATCTAATACTAATAGTAGTATTCATCACCTCCGTCAACAAAATGCAAACAATTAATGCTGCCATACTACTAATAGTAGTACCATACTGTACCATCTCCACTGACGCTTTGTTTTTCCTTGCACAAGAAGCATAACTTAGAAACTAGAGCAGGACGTTCTCTCTCTCATTCTCTCAAAACGTAAGTTGGTCTCTCTCTCAATAATCATTGTAAGAATTTCTGTTTGATTGCCTAGAAAATTAGCATGGAAAATCATTAAACGATTTCAGTTCTTTCGTCTTTGGTTGAGGAGAAAAGGATTATTACTCTGTTGATTCATTTATGGTAATTTTTCTTTTTCTCTCTTTTCATACCAAAAAAAAAAAAAGTAAATGAACAATGGTTTAGCTGATTATTTATTTTTCTTTCTTGATGTTCGGTAAATTCTGTGATTCTACATTTTTTTTTTTTTGGAATAACTCTCCAGGAATGCTTCATCTCATTTTTTCAGGATTTTGATTTAAAATTCCTTTGAAAGGTTTTGAATGGAAATTTCAAATCTAAACATTGTGCTTTCTTGATTTTTTTCATTTTGCTCCCTTATTAACTTTCTTCTCCCCTCCCTATTGCTGTGAAGTATTTGTGATAATGGAAGCAATTTCAACCGCTGCTCCTTACGTGGACGAGGATTTGGAAAAGCTAGTTGAATTTTTTGGCTCAACTTTTTCTGTTGAGGATGTTGCCTCTGCTTTTTGTGAGGCGGGGCGGGACTCAAATTTGGCTGCTGAAATTCTCTGTGGAGTGCATGGAACTAACTCAAATGCATTACCATTAAAGTGTCCTTCCGGATTGGATAGTGCAAGATCAGTGTCATCAGAATTGCCATCTGATAAATATCTTGAGAAGGTTTCCGATGGACAAAAACGGACAAAAGAGCTTGGGTCAAAAAAATATTCTGCATCAATGGGTACTGTTTCAAGTGTAATTGGCAAAGAGTATACTAAACCTAGGCCAAAGACAAATGAATATATTGAAGCAAAGAAACCATTGATGTTAGAATCTAAGGACTTTCCAGTCTCAATGATTTGGAGTGAGGACAATACGCCAAATGTGACAACAAGGAATTGCCCCCCAAAAGCTGATATAGAGGAATTTCTTTTTAAGATGCTTGGAGATGGTTCTCAGATCGATATGCCTGTGATTCAACAGGTTCTTGGTAAGTCTTTTTTTTTGTTTTGTTTTGTTTTGAATTTATATATTTGAGCTGTATAGGAACCTATGTGAAAGTTTTAGAGTTCACGAGCAGTCTCATCTATGGCTTAGATGAATCACTAATGTCTATGCTACGTATGGTTGAGAACTTAAAGAAGGGTAATTTACAAATTGAAGAGAGCCTATATATTTTTAAAATTAGCATTTTGTATGGTCGAGAACCTTAAAAACATATTGAGGCAGCCTACTGGGCTCTGTTTTTAATCTTTGAAATAGATGGAAATGTTAGATAATTGGAATCTGTACACTTTTGATGTTTTTTGTTCAATTGTTTGCTTTTCATTCTTTTCTTTAATCCTTTCTTTAAATCTAAAGCATTGTCTTCAGCTTGTAAATTGTGATGTTATCAAAATAGAAGATTGAGCTTGCTGGTTATTGTATGTTGGAGTAGCATTGCAATGATGTACTTTAAATATCAAGTCGTTTTGTTTTATTAATGATAGTTTAATCTGGCATTCATTTTGATCTGCAGGCCTTTGTGGGTATGATGTGCAAAAGGTAAAGTGGAAATTCTTTTTACACTTTAGGTTCTTCTATTGTTTCATATTTTTTTTGGAGAAAAATAAAAGCATCTTATAGATTCTATGTACTTGCAATCTTGAAAGTTCAAAAAAAAACTGCACGTGAATTCCTGGAAATTTGGATGGCCATAATTTGCTTAATGATGCTTGATAACAGAAAAGGTGGAAAACATTTTTATTTTTATCAATAGGAGCTGATTAAACAACCACAAATGTGTTGTGAGCTGTAAATTATAATATCACAATAAAAATTTGGCCAAAGCATATGTATTAAATAAACTTTTGTCTATATATTTTTCGAAGAGAATAGGATTACCATTCTCAAACTGTATAATTTTTTTAGTGCTATGTGTCTTCAATGTATTATTTCAGGATGGCCAATGCTAAAGTTAAAGCTAACTGAGTTTTGTGATAAAACAATGCTTGTTACTATTATCACTCCTTTTAAGTGCTATCTTTTGCAGTTTCTTTTGCTCCTTTTAATTATCAATCTTCAATTACCATTGATCAATGATGCTGTTAGAAATTTCTTAACTTGAATTTTAATTGCCGATACAATGGTTCGAAAAGCTCAGTCTTTGTCCCATATTTTTGTTGTTGGAACTCCACTTGCTAGTGGATAACTTAGCTAGTGGAACCCAAATGACAAATCTTTCATCCTAAAATATTTAATCATAGTATCCTTAGTTGATTTGTGGTTCAATATCTTCAACTGGTGCTTATTTAATCTTCTGGCTAAAGTAACTAATTTTCCTAATTGGTCATGCAGAGCATTGACAAACTTCTTGATTTATCAGCTTCAACATTGGAAAACTGTGAAGGAGTTGGCGTGGCTGCTGACAATGTACAGGCCTTTTGTTTTGGCATTTGATTCATGCAATTCACAATTTATATTTAATAGATGCAATTTTCATAAATATTTCAATCTTGAAGCAAAGTGATAAGAGTTCCTTTTACCTACATTTTTTAAACAGTCAACAGGAAAATGTTCAGAGCAGGAATCTGTTTCACTTAGAGAACGAGTGCAACATCTAGATTCTGATCGAAGGTTTATAATTCCCTTCATATTGCTTGATAGTTTACTTCCATGAATCTTAATTTTAGCAAGAGAAAAAATCTTTTCTAGAAGGGAATCTTTAATTTATTCATCTTTTTGACCAGCAAAGATCAACATTTCCTTTTGTTTGTGCCCCACGCAGGGATGGAGGTGAACTGAAGGCTAGCAACTTAACAAGTTCTCCAAAAGGAGAAATGGATAGAACAGGTCTTCAGAAGGAAGTTCTGCAAGCATTGTTTGATGTTCCAAATAGATCTGAGGAAGCACCAAAATTTGCACGCCCACGCCGATTTATGCCAGGAAAGAGATTAAAAGCATTTGGCAAACTTGTGACTGAACGTCATAAGGATGCTACAAGAGAACATAAACCTTCTGCTGCAGAGCAACATATAGTTTCTGAAGAAGGTGTGAACCCTAATCTATGTGCTGCATAAAAGTTTGAAAGTGTATTTAAACAGTCAAGATTATATATATATAAGCGCTCGCTTTTCTTATACAGCTTCGGGAAATATAAATAACAAGCATTGTCAGAAAGTCTCCAGCTTCTTTAATCCATAATGCTGTATGTTATTTCAGTCAAAGAGTACATGTCTGCTGCATTGACTGAATTTGTCTATCTTCAACATTTCAGTCACCTAATATCACTTCCTACTGGTTTTGGTGACTATCATTTTGGTGACTGATAGTCACAATCGTAGCTGAGCTTTTTCTTTGCTAAATGTATCAATTGGATTAGACTCGTTCCATTTTGGTTCCTGGTCTCTGCCACAATGACACTGTTGTCATTGCAGGCTTCAGACTTATTCTAAGGCTAGTCTAGGGGGCCAGTCATATTCACTGACACATGAGCTAAGATTATCTTATATAAGGCCAGTCCATATAAGTCCAATAATCATTATAACACAAATAAGCAATACATTTTTGAATTTGTGGATTGATTTCAAATTTTCTTCTTATTATAGGAATTTTATAGTTAATTCTAACTCTACTAATAACACTGCTTTCTGGAATACAAATCTTTGATGGACAAAGTAGAGGATGCTGATAACAACTATGAGGTCCTACGTGCAGCTGTCAAGGAATATTTGATTACCATGAAAGAGTACTATAAAGCTGTAAGCTCTCCATTTTATTAACGTCTGGAAATTGTAAATTGTAGAAGATTTGCTTAGATTCAAGGGAAATAATGTGGCGAAGAGAATTGTTGAGATTGATACAATAATGGGATAACATTGTTTTCTATTGCAGAGATTGCAGAGACTCTGTCTGCTCAATTTTAGTTTTTTATTGCTGATTTTTGGTTTTATCAGTGGATATAGATGCTTTGTTTTAAATTTTCTAGTTCCATTGCAGGCTGTTGATGCATTTGTCAAGGGTGATCATGCAAGAGCACATAAACTGCAAGAGCAGGTTTTGTTTTGTTTTTTTTTTTTTTTTTTTTTTTTTTTCAGATAAATTAATTTTTAGTCATGACCATAATTGCAATTATAATTACTCCCCTGTTTCTTCTCTGAAAATTTATTCCTTCACTTACGAGTGGCTTGAATTTTGAATCTGATGGAAATTAGAAATATATAGTGCTGCTGCATTTCATTTTTCATTGTTGTCCACAAGTTCATCATATTGTTAACTAGTTAACATATCACATGCAATTGTAGTAACTGGAGCTGAATGCCTTACTCTGTACATATGACTGTGCAACTGATGTTGTTCTACCATTCTTTTGCTAAAATAGTGGTACCTGATGTTTTTGCATTAAATTTATGTCCTAATGGCTGCTACTTTTGTCAAATAACTGTGTTTGTTGCCAGTGCCAACTGGTATTCTTGCCTCCTTTAGGGGGCTGTGGCCTGATTTTTGGGCTTAGAAGTTTGAGCAGTGGATAAAACAGCTCAGTCCTTGCTGATTTATGATGAGTCCAGTGAGTAACATGATAAAAACTTAACCATTAGCTTTTGCTATTGTGAAAGAGTTGATACGGTATTTCAAGTTCAAGTTATCAAATATGGGCGATATACTTGGAAATTGTCTGTATTATGTGAAGTTCACATTTTTGTGATGCACTATTGAGTTGGAATGTTCAGGGACAATTTTTTAAGGAAAAGGCTCGCGAAGCAGATGATAGATCTTGTCAAAAACTTGTTGAAACCAGGTTCCTGTAAATTTTATTTCTTTAAATTCAATTTGAGTCTAGGGTATATCACTTCATTCAATAACTTGATCTGTGACTTTCACTGTAGAAATGAGGAGGTAATGTGTGTCGAGTTGCACGATAATGAACCGAAGGAATCTTTACGTCTTCTGAGACTTCACTTAACCTCTCTTTCTGGTATCCCGTGTAAGTTTTTATTCTCTCGTCCTGTTTTCATCTTTTTGCATTGAATTACCAAAACATGACATGAGTTTTTTATCTTGGCTTTTTATCAGCTATTAAGTACCTTAGACTCAAATTGGAAAGCAACAACGAAGATGCCATGAAAGGGAAAAGGAAGAGACTGGTACGACTAGATTACCAAGCAATTTTCAGATAACAGTTCAATTAACAAAAGGAAGAGCTATTTCTGTTTAAAGACTCAATGTTGTTTGCTTTCTGGTTTTTGTTTATACTATAGTTGATGAATTACTGGTATTTGAGTTCTCATCTCAGGACCTGAATAGCCCAAACTGTTGGACCTTTTTGACTTGATTTGGGACCACGTCTAAACATTTGATTATCACCAATTATACAATTAAAAACTCAAGAGTTGAACAAAGTATGCATCATTCATGTTTAAGTCCCATATTAGTAATAATACTTAATTGCAAAATTATATTAAAACATAGTTTTTTCTAGATTGCACCTCTATTCTCTCTTGCTAAATCTCTACATTTTGGCTTATTGCTTATATTCCTCTCTAGAGCATTAAATATGGAAATGGCTTTTTTTTCGTACGCAGATTCTGAAGCAACTGGAGAAGGAATCCATCAAATGGAATGAGGAAGGGGATGGTGAGACAATATTAATCCAGGTCGATGTGATTAATCCAAAGAGCTTGAGCTTTGCGAAGAAGCAAGGAGCAGGAGATCAGAGCAAAAGGAGGTCTTATACTGGTTATTTGTGATTTTCTTTCTACTGAAAAAACTTTAATGAAACACATCTCTGACTAGGTATGACCATTTTGTCTTCAAGAACAAAATGACTAGGTACAATGTTGCTGAATGCTGCTGATGAAAACATTTTTTGATCTTTTGGCTGAAACTAGAGATTGCTGATTGCTGTTTTGTAATCCTTGTGATGCTTATATGCTTTAATTAAACTGTTAGCTCTTTTCCTTTTCCTTTTTTTAACATGTGGAATTTTTAATCTTGGGGAATTTATGTTTGCAGCTTTTACTAAAAATACAGAGTTTTTTTTTTTTTTTTTGCTTCATCAGAATATAAATAACTTACAAGGTATAAAGATTTTGATTCTAAATTTATTTTGAAAATAACTATATAAAAATTTGCTTGTGATATGAAAAATTGTATGTTAAACGTAAATGTTATTTCAACAAAAACTAAATTATTTAAATATAAAAACAAAACACAAATTTCTAAATTTTTATTTTACTAAGTAAATCCAATGAGATCGTATCTAAAAAGAATCCTATTCTTAAGTTGATCCAAAAACTAATTAAATGATTTCTATTTTCAGCTATGTGAAATAAATTTCTTTGATTCTAATTTATAATAGAAGAAATATACAAATACAGGTATTATAATTAAAAAAAAAAAAAAAACAAGACTTTTATAATGAAAGTAATTAAATTTTTCTTTTTATTTTTAACAAAAGCAATGTGGAGCTTCTCGATGTCAGTTTGTCATAGATATATATCCCACCGTTGAATGGATGTGGGGACGTGTGCTCAAAAGCATCAACGGTTTGATTGGTGGGAGAATATGTAGAGCAGAGGGTGACGGTAACAAATTCCAGAGTCCTTGCAGTGTCTTTATCAACTCCGCGGCGCAAAATATATATATATAAAAGATTCTTCCATAATGCATTGTTTTGTTGCTTCTCGGCTTCGGCTAATAGCGAATGGCTCCACCTCCACCTAAACGCTCACATTTGGGCTTCTTGCCCAAATTTTTTTGGGAAGAATTTCACACTGACAAAATTATTTTAATTAATGATTGAAAGAGCGCATAATGAAATTATAACATTGTTCTAATTGATCAGTTAGTCCATTTTTTTTTCTCAATTTATCTGATTATCTATATGGGTATTGACAGTTTTTGTTTATTTAAAATTTCTCAATTATTATTATTACTAATAATTCCAGAAAAAACTTAATTTAGAGGATCCATATTGAACTGAAGTCATCCGACGTGTTCATACATACAGCCAATCTAGAATCCAAAAAGTTAGGTGAAAAGAAACCTGAATGAGAAACATCAATCAACAATAGGAATTAAAACTCTAAATTTTTTGCACAAAATAGTGGAATTGGAATACATAAATAGAGCATCAGCTTAGCCGATTAGCCGGGCTATCTAAACCAGTCAATATCTAAGCCAAGAGACATGGATTCCATATAAAGTAAAAAAAAAAAAAAAAAAAAAAAATTATTATTGAGAAATTACTAATTTTAATATTTCACATAGAAGAGCAACATCTAATATTGAGCTTTTTCTGATTCTACCATATTGAAATCGTGAAGTCAGTCCGGACGGGCGCCGTCGTTCGATACATTTACAGGCCAATCTAGATCCCAACAAACGTAGGTGGAAAAGAAACCTGATACGATTGAGAAGAAACACTCAAGGTGGCAAAAACAATAGTGAATTATTAAACTCAACATTTTTTATATTTGACAACAATAACGATGGAATTGGGAATACACTTAAAAACTTAGAAGACAGGCATCAGCTTTAGGAGCCCGATTTAGCCGGCCGCTTATTACTAATAATCCTTAGTCAAGTAATCTAAGCGCAGAGAGACGATTGGGATATAATCAAATGAGTAAAGTAAAGTAAAAAAAATTAACAAAAAAGAGAAAACACAAATGTAATCAACTTAACAAGAAACACCAGAATAGTATTATATCATCTTGTACTTGAATAAAACTACAAAAAGCCAAGATTATTAAATCATTATTATACATCTTTAATATTTGTTCTCCTCTAATTTGATTAATAGAGGAAAAAAAAAAAAAAAAAAAAAAAGAGAAACACAAGTCTTACAAAACACAGTATAAAATCTTTGTCTTAAAATCAAAAGCAAGATTATTAAATTAATCATCTTTATTTCCCTCTTAAAAGAGGAAAAATGTTAAAAATATTCCAAATCTAAGGATGCCCATCAGTTCAGTTCTATCATTCTTCTTCCTTTCACACCCTTTTTAGCTTCCACTCTACTACTGTCCCTTCTCTCACTTAAAAGCTCTCTTTTTTCTCTCTAAAAATTATCTCTTTCTTTCTGCATTCTCCATCTTGCTGTTAAAGAGAAGATTTTGACAGATAGATATAGAGATTGAGAGATATACTTACAGTGACTATTAGAGATGAGAGGACCCTTGGGGCCAGTTATAGGAAGGTACCCATCAAGTGATGGAAGTACCCAAATTGGTGGAATTATTCGACACAATAGGAAATGCAGAGATGTTGCTTTTCTTGTGATTTTTATAGCATTTTGGGTTGCTATGATTGTTAACTCCAGTTTTGGATTTAATAAAGGAAACCCTTTAAGGTGAGTGTTTTTAGCTTTAACTAGTTAGAAATTCAACTGGGGATCTCCTAATTTTGGTAATTTAGTTTTGTTTTAATTTCCGAGCTGAGATTCACTGTTACTTGAATTGGTTATAATTTTTGGAGTTCATTCGTTTAAGGGATCTTTCAATGTATTTCTACGTTTCTTTTTGTTTTCCTTTTTTTATTTGGTGAAGTATTTGGAGCAATTTGCTAATAGGATCATTTTACTTGTACAACAGTTGAGTATTGTTTAGTGTTCCTTATTGTTGGGGTATTCTTCAGGCAAGATTTATTTATCTCTTTTTTTTTTTTTTTTTTTTTTTTTTTTTTTAAATAAGCTTTGATATAATTAATTTAGTCTCTGTTCTTTCTTTTAGTTTATATGTATGTATGGGGTTTGAAAAGGCCATTAAGGAAAGAAACGTATTGGAATTTCATCTTGAGTTTGTAGAAAGAGATTTTGATATTGATGGTGTGCTTTTTTGAGTGTTAGACAGTGAATTTAAGGATTTTCAATTTAGTGAAATTCCAGTTAGAAGATGGTTTTCTTTTTTACTTTATATATTAAAAAACCAAATGATGCATTACTGTAATTTGTAAAGCAGAATTCGTATTATCTTTAGCAGCTTGTGCTTGAGGGAGTGAGTGTGTTGCGTGCAATTTGACAGGGAACATGATGTTGCAATTTTTTTTTTTTTTTTTTTTTAAATTATTCTGCTTTCCTGTAACTGCCTTATCAAGAATCTTCGTGGCTTGCCACTTCAGTATCAATAATTGTCCTAGCCCAAGGGAAGGTTTTACTCCCAACAAGATTCACGGAATGAGCTCCTTTTAACATTTGGTATCACTTTTCTTATTTGCTTTTGAGACTTTAGCTATACTAGAACTGGTTTGCTTTCCCTTGGTTGTACTGCTTCTGTTTTTTTTTTTTTTTTTTTTTTAAATTCTGCTTTCCTGTAACTGCCTTATCAAAGAATTCGTGCTTGCATTCAGTATCCAAATAATTGTCTGCCCAAGGAAAGGTTTTATCCAACAAGATTCCACGAATGAGCTCCTTTTAACATTGGTATCACTTTTCTTATTTGCTTTGAGATTTAGTATTAGACTGGTTTGCTTTCCCCTTGGTTGTACTGCTTCTGGTTTAAGTTCCAATTCTGAAGGAGGGAATTTTTTCTTTTTCCAAATATGTTCTGCTGCTTTATTAGTGCATTGACTAATCGTCTTTTTATTTTACTGTAACTTCCTTCATCTGTTCAAGTCATTATAATTGGTTCATTTCTGGCTTATTTCTGGCTTTTCTCTGTGCTTCTTTGTTGAAATCTGGTGCTGGTTTCTTGTGTTAAAGGCATAGATATATAAATTACATGGCTTTATTGGTTCAGTAGTTTACCAAAGTACTCGTACACATCCCTGCACCCATCCAGTCTTTTGATGTGGAATTTATGGTGTTACGGATGCAGTTTGTGTTTGGCTGCATCTATTTATTTTCCCTGTATTTTGTGACTACTAGATATCTTTCAGCATTGTTCTTGTATGTTTTAATTTTAGCAAATTCTCCGTCTGTCCTTCATTTCATTAACTTGATAGGCTCTGCTGTGTTTGCTAGGCTTACTTATGGGCTGGACTACAAAGGAAATGTGTGTGGGGATAGGCATGCAGGTCTTCGTGAATTGGAGCTTATGTATTGGGTAAATCCTAACCAGGTCTATCTTAGTGGTTTAAAAGACAGTCAATTCAAGTTGGCCAATGCTCGGAGCATATGTCTATTGGATTGTCCCATTCCATCTGAAGATGCACTCAATTGGGTATGTGATTATCCAGAGGGAGATATCCGTTTGTCAATGGATGATTGGATTGATAGGAACTATGATTATTTTGAGTTCCTTACTCCCGAAATGAGAAACACTTCCCTTCAACTCCAGGGTCCTTGTTACCCTGTTATATTTCCTAGTGTGAATGGTAGGTGAATTAGATTTTTTTTTTTTTTTTAAATTATCATTTCCATGGTAAAAAATAAGTCTAGAACCACCTAGAGATTGTGCATGTTTTGTTTTAGTGTAGGCCATGTTGATCTTTAGTTTTGATGTTGTGGCATAACTGATTTATTTTTACTAATCTCAGTTTTCTGGAGGTGTCAATTTATTGCTCACGCATCAAATGTCTCGATGCGGCATTGGCAGCAAATGAATGGAGTGAACATCAACGAGGACATTATCATAGACAAATCCATCCATAAGTCCATTAATTCTCGGTCATCGGTGTTGAAGGTTGATGAAATTATGTATATTGCTTCTTTAGATGAGTTATAAAGAAAAATGTACAAGTTGCTTTTCAACTATCAAGTTGCTGCATTCTACTTTGTTCAACAATTGGATTTTACTTCACTAAAGAATTGTGTATCCAATCTGAAATGGTTTTTAAATAGACAGTGTAAGCATCTTGCACCATGCATGCATAAACTAGTTTGCACTCATTTTAATTGATATGTTTTTTAGCGTTGTTAAGCTGCTCAAGAGTGTTATACTACAACTTCAGTACATCCTTCTTCATTTTGTGCCTTGTAGTTGAATAGAGATTATGGTTAATTGTCTAATCCAAAAGTTTGGTACCTCTGCTAACCCCTGTTCATATGGCACCTGCCTCCTTAAATGAACCATACAGACTGCAAATTATATTCTGGGGGCCTCATAATTCTTCATGTTTACTAGACTGCTTGAAGCTGGGTCGCTGGTTAAATATGCTGCAATTAATTGTGTCAATCAATTTGTCCTTTTGATATTCATGTTATGTTTTTCCATTGTGATAATTAAGCACATTATGGTTTCTAGACTTCACAGTTCATTGCTTACATTTTGCAGAGATACATGGCTGATATTGGGAAGTCATGGCCTGTTTTGATTGTTTGTGGGGGGCTCTTGCCACTTTTTTTATCAGTGATTTGGCTGCTAATGATTCGGCACTTTGTTGCTGCAATGCCTTGGATAACAGTTGTTCTCTTTGATCTTCTCATAGTATCAGTAACAATGTTTTACTACTTGAAAGGTCAGAATTCTATCTTTTATTTTCATTTTCTAAAGTTGGTAAGCCAAAATCTTTTAGTCAGGTGTTTGCCAGAAAATATTATATATTTTAGTGAAAAAATGCGTTCGATATATTCCTTGCTCTACACTTGTGAGTGGCTTGAACTTTGCTGCCTGAAATCCTAATTTCACAAATGGCCTTGTTATTTTTTGCTGATATTTATTTCGAAATCTCTAATTTGGTTGTTAATGGTCTGTTTTAATGTTCCCATTTTTCATCTTCATCCCATGGTAGGATATTAGCTTTTTGTTTGATTCTTCACCTTTTGTAATGGATGTTGCACAAAAATATGTCTTGGAGTATGACTTTGTATGTGATGATATAGGATGATAATAGAAAAAATTATGGTACAAATTTACTTCTAGAGTCGACCTTGTTGACTGAAGGGGAACAAATGCTGCTGACATATATGGGCATATCTTTCTTGAAGTTTGCATGTCTAGCATTGTTTTGTTCAGTTTTGGTCCTCAAAAATCACATGCATTGCAATTTTATACAGAGAAAATCCTTCAGCCTTCTCATTTTCTTTTTCCCGTTGCTTACTCTTGAATATCTTACTAATTATTGTGGAGACGTGACACTGAATTCATTTTTTTTCTCTTTTATTTCAGCTGGATGGATTGGGAATGATGCCATCTCTCCCATCATTGGTGAGCATGATCCATACTATCATGTATCTGGACGGGTGAGTTCTATAATTCTCTGAACATTGAGTTGTTTACTTTTTCCCACTCGTCAACTCTTGCTATTTATGTGATATGTGTGTAATTGACTTGAGTGGTTTATGTCTTTCAGGAGCTAAATCATCTCCGTGGTGTTACTGTTCTAATGACTTTTATAATGGTTGTTGCTATCCTTACATCAATTGCCATCGTGCGCCGCATTCTTATGGCAACATCTGTTCTCAAGGTAAAGCATAATGTTCAAGCCACAATGTAAAGTAACAAGCAACAATAGCATTTAGAAACTTTTCTCAGACCAAAGTGCTGGCTCTTTTGGCGGTTCAATTTGCAATGGCTTAGCAATCCAAATTAAGCAAGTAAAAAAATGCTGAAATCCTTTTGCGAAAGTTTACTTATTTTACATCTTTCATTGAGGTTGAGCTGCAGAACAACAGGCTACTCTTCCTCAGTGGATCCCATACTTGTAATTACTTTTATTTTAAGTCTTAGCCTCTTAGGAAGGCCATGCAAAAACATAAGTAGGATCTCTCATTTGCCTAGCGTGTAAAGGAAGATTCCATCCATCATGCTATTATGCAATGGAAATGCAGTGGATAGCTGTATGGTTTTCTGAACTGAATACACATCAAGTTTAGCTGCATCTGGAATTTCACTGAATTGTAGTTTCAATTTTTGTAAGTAATACATAAGCCCTTCACACTAAAGGTGAAATGCCTCCTCCATTAACATTGGAAATTAGGATACTTAAAAATCACCCTTCTCTAGATACCAAAAAATTTATTGGGACTTCTACATGCAGTTGACGTTTCTGATCATGTGAAGGGTTGTGCCATCCTTTTTTTTCTTAAAAATTTAAAAAGCAAGAATATGTTCCTAAAATATGTCAATGCAATCCTGGGTGACTAAAGTCGGTTTTAAACTTTATGCAGGTTGCTGCAAAGGTTATAGGAGAAGTTCAAGCACTCATAATTTTCCCAGTTATACCATATGCTGTGCTTGCAATCTTTTATATGTTCTGGTTTTCAGCTGCTTTTCATCTCTTTAGTTCGGGTGAGATTGTCCAAAACAACTGCAACTCCAACTGTTGTGCCTATGACCTTGGGTCAAAACGTGTTAATTGTGATCGTTGCTGTGGCTATAGCATCCATTATACTCCTCATATAGCAGTTGCCATCTTTTTCCACTTGTTTGGGTGTTATTGGGCTACACAATTTTTTATAGCAAGCTCTGCAACTGTGATTGCTGGTTCTATTGCCTCCTACTACTGGGCTCGTGGTGAGACATCGGTAAGCTACTAAGCTATTAGTGTACTTCTGAATTTGTTATATTCCATAATAGAAAAAGTTGTTGGCATTTTGGCATAGTTGTGAAGACAATTTGCAGTGATTCTCTGATGGATTTTTTCTGACATTTTTGCACAATTGCGTGTACCATTTTGGTGTAGATCAACTAAAGAATTCTTAATGTATTTGAATTTTGGTAGATTATCTGCTTATAATCTGTTTAATAGGTGGAGATATTCACTTTATTTTCATGAATCGATTCTTCTTAAGTTCATCTTTTCATTTCTGGTGATGCAGGCAGAGATCCCTTTTCTTCCAGTTTTTTCCTCTATGAAGCGGCTTATGCGTTACAGCCTTGGATCTGTTGCCCTTGGCTCCCTGATAGTGTCATTTGTGGAATCAATTCGCTTTATTCTTGAGTCTATCCGTCGCAAACTGAAAGTTGCCAATGCTACACCTGACAGCTGGATAGGAAAGATGGTGCACCACACTTCCCAGTTCTGTCTGAGATGTGTTGAGTTGACTATAAAATCTGTCAACCGCAATGCTTACATAATGGTAATGCCTATAACTAATTGCAGCAAAATTCAACGTGTATTATGTCTTGTGTGAATTGCTTGTGATTATTTGGATTCCCCTATACTACTAGTGACTTTTCTGAAGTGTGATTATAGAGAGGAGGCAATGAAAAGCGGAAGATATATATCATTGAAGATCTTTTACTTTCTATTACTTGCATCTTTATCATAACCGTGTCATGGTCTTTTTCCTTTTCCCACTTCCAGTAATTTTATTGTAAGGACGCGTTACGTCTCAGAGTTGGTCTTTTGTATAATTCATATTCAAATATATTGACATTTTTGGAGTTAAATTGTTTTTTGATTTTGGTTGTTGCTTCTGCAGATAGCAATAACAGGCAAAAGCTTCTGTAGGGCATCTGCAATTGCAACTGAATTGATCATGAACAACATTCTTAGGATTGGGAAGGTGAATGTGATTGGAGATGTTATCCTATTTCTTGGAAAGTTATGTGTCAGCCTTTCAAGTGCGGTTTTCGCTTTCCTCATGTTGGATACCCACAAATATAGATCTTCTCATAACAAGATATCCTCCCCATTGTTTCCTGTAATGGTAGGTGTTTATACAAGATTTGCTTCCAAGCAGTATTCATGAACTTTTACATCATTTTGCATCGAAACTAGTGCTTATGACTTGATTGTCTCGTTTTCGTGTTTATGCAGGTATGCTGGGCTCTAGGTTATGTAGTTGCAACCCTATTCTTTGCAGTGGTGGAGATGTCAATTGATACTATCATTCTTTCATTCTGTCAGGATTCTGAGGAGCACCAAGGGACAGCCCAGTATGCTCCTCCACTTCTCATTGAGACCCTCAATGATCAAAATGAGACGCAGAGACTTACTCAATGATCGTGTGAATGTATAAGTTGCCTGTTTCACATTTTCCTACTGAAAATTTATAATCTTATCATATTTCTTAGAGCATTTAGTTATAAAGAAAAGAAAAATGAAAAGTCTGATGCCTGTCCTACTTCCTTCCTCTGTTCCTTATTATTTTTCTGCTTTTTCGTTTTTCCAAGTTAGCTTTTCTCCTTGCTTTAGCCAGTTAGTCTTTGAATTTTTATATGTTTGTCTGTTTATTTAGTTTAGTTTAAAATTAAGAAGTACAAGTAGAATTTATAACCATATTAAAACTATTTATAAAAATGCATCATACATTTGATATAATAATATTTAAAATAAAACGTATTTATTTAAAAGAAAAAGAAAAATAAAAATCGTCCATATGATTAAAATTCATGAATTAAATAATGTTTTTATATTTTAAATTAAAAGCTATGTAGATGCATAAATGCTACATAAACAATAATAAATAATTATAAATTTAATTTTTTTTTTTAAAAAAAATTTGAAATTCGCACCAGGAAACCTTACCTGTCTTATACATATATGTGATGGTTAGGGTTCGATGATGTGTATTGGATGCGCAGCGGCAACGCAAATTAAGTTTTTGGGTGTTATACAATGGAATTTGAGGCAGAGAATCATTTGCACAGGCTACCGTTGATGTGATCTACGACATCTTTTCCAGGCAGTCTATTGAAACATAGTTTATTTCGCGATGCGTTTGCAAATTTTGGCTGAACATCATTGATGCTCCATCTTTTACTAGCAAGTATATTGCTGTGTCCAACACACAACTCTTGCTTTTTGGGCCTCCGATCTACAGGAGCTTAACCGCTCACGCACAAAATGAATATCCATCTCTATATGCTTTGTTCGCTGATGCTGTACCGGATTACTAGACAAATAAACTGCACTAACATTATCACAGTAAACCAATGTGGCTTTGCTAATCGGCACCTTTAACTCCAATAGTAAATTGCGAAGCCAACAAGATTCTGCAACAACATTAGCGACTCCAGAAAACCACAGATCACATGCAGGTCGCATCCGACGGTCACACGTCCCAAACAACTCGCCAACACCACGCCAACAACCATCCAGCGCCACGTCGGAGACGATCAATCCCCCAAGAAGCGAGAAATCAATCGCCCGCGCGCCCCAGGCCCCTAAATAATACCACGGAAAAAACGGATAGACGGATCTACAGGAGCTTAACCGCTCACGCACAAAATGAATATCCATCTCTATATGCTTTGTTCGCTGATGCGTTTACTCGGAATTACTAGGACAAATAAACTGCGACTAACATTTTTCACAGTAAACCAATGTGGCTTTGCTAATCGGCAACCTTTAACTCCCAATAGTAAAATTGCGAAGCCACAAGATTCTGCAACAAACATTAGCGACTCCACGATATTCAGCTTCAGGCGCTGGAGCGTGATATGTCGGTTGTCTTTTTAGAAGACCAAGATAATCAGATTATCACCCAAGAAAAAATTATCACCAAGAAAAACACAATAGCCAGAAGTGGAGCGTCTAGTATCAGGACAACCACCCCAATCAGCATCGGAGTAAGCTGTAAGACATGAAAAAGGGGAGTTCGAAAGGTGCAAACCATAAGAAAGAGTGCCTTTGAGATACCTCAAAATTCGCTTCAAAGCACTCATATGAGCCGTTGTTGGATTGTGCATATGTAAGCAAATTTGTTGAACAGCATAAGACAAATCCGGTCTAGTGAATGTGAGATATTGAAGAGCACCAGCTAGACGACGATATAAGAGAGGATCATCATATGAAGAACCAGAATCAGTACTGAGTTTCAGCTTGGTGTCAACAGGCGTCGAGACAGATTTGCAACTAGACATGCCTGCTCTGTCAAGAATTTCTGCAGCATACTTACGCTGAGAAAGGAATAAACCGGAGGAGTTTCGGTGAACAGAGATGCCCAAAAAGTAATTCAAAGGACCCAAGTCTTTCATGGCAAACTCTGAAGACATCAAAGACATAATAGATAGCCGAAGCTTTTCGGAAGAAGTGGTGAGAATAATGTCATCAACAATTCAACATAGACAAAGATACCGCCAAATCAGTCCCCTTGCTATAAATTGAAAAGTGAATGATTCAAGGATTTGCTGTGAATTAAAACCAATAGTAAGGAGCATTAATTTCAGCAACCGTGGTACCAGCTCGTTGGAGGCTTTTTTTTAAAACTGTATAAAAGATTTGCGAAGGAGGCAAAACATATTCTGGATGTTTGCCGAATCCTTTAAAATCCCAAAGGTTGATACATGTAGGACTGTTTCACTTAAATTTCCATTTGCAGGAAATGCAATTTTGAACATCCAGTTGATTTATACAACCACCGTTTGAAACAGCGAGACTTGAGGACAGTGCCGAATGGTAGTACCGGCTTTTAACAACTGGACTGAAAGTCTCATCAACAATCCACACCAACCTGTTGGACCTACCATCACAAACAAGCACCGAGCTTTTGTATCGCTTCCAAAAGAACCATCAGACTAGTTTTTTGATGCCGGAAAAAACCCACATAGGACCGAACCACTATTAGCATGGCTGGACGGGCAGCGCCCAGGTACCAACTCCCCACGTCCTTATTTTTAATTAAGCAGCAAATTCATCAAGCCATTTGGCAGCCTTTCCAATTTGATCTTTCTATAGGGCAGCAATTGGGCTATTAGGTTAGGCGTGAAAAAGAAGACGAAGAGCAAAACAAATTAAAATGCTTCTTAGGACGGGTATGCCATTTGCATACTGCGGGTGGTCATGGTTTCGGACTGGAGCAGGAGCGAGGTGGTTGGGTTGTAACAGGTGTGGTGTAACAGGTTGTGGTGGCTGTGGAGAAACATTTTCAGATGGGACGGGTTGCGTGACCATAGGTGAAGGAGAAGATGACAATGGAGGTGGAGAAGATGTGGAGTTTTGTAAATGAAATTGTAATAAGGGATGAACACTGTCATCCAAAAAGTGATAGGTAGATGGAAACTGAGGTTTGACGGAAGCGAAGGGAAAAATTGACTCATCAAAAGAAACATGCCTAGAAAGAATGATTTTGTTTGTGGACAAATCATAACACTTGTAACCCCTATGATTAGTCGGATAACCAAGAAAAACACAAGATGTAGAACGAGGTTGGAGTTTATGAATAGTAGGAGAGGGGAGGGAGACAAAGGAAAACACCAAACACCCAAAAAGCTCGTTAAATGACTGTTAGAGGGAACCCGACCATAAAGGAGAGATGTAGGAGATGAAAAATTAAAAATTTTATCTGTGAGGAACAATATTGATCAAATAAGAGGCCATTTTGCAAAGCATGAGGCCAAAAGAAGGAGCATGGAAGATTTTGAGAAAGTAATGTTCTAACCATGTTATTATAATGGTGCGGATTTTTCGTTCGGCTTTTCCACATTTTTGAGAGGATGTAAAAAAGGACATGGAAACAATCGAAAACTTTCATTACCATTCACATGACAAAATTGTTTGAATTGTTTATTATCATTATTTTCTTTTGCCGATTGTCACACTTGTAAACACTAATTTTTACCTTTTACCAAATTGGGTCTTTTAGAACACAGGAATGATTTGAGAAAAAATTTGGAAGACTTGTGATTTTTCGGCTTAATGGGAAAGTCCACAAAAAAATCGATATAATCATCAAGAAACAAAACATAATACTTATGGACCAGCAGAACCTCAATCATAGGGGAAGTCCACACCATCACTTCATGGGAATAATATCTCAAAAGGACATTAAGAGTATTTAGAATTGAATCTGAAAAAGGTAATTCTAGCTTGTTTCCCAAAAAACAAAGGAATGACAACTTTAGAACTATTAGAAAAAGAAAAATTACAATCAATTAATTTATTTCTATAAAGATATTGTAAAAGAGGAGGTCCCGGGTGCCCCAATCTACGATGCCATAAATCAGCGGACAAGGTAACAAAAGCCAATGGTGAAGACTTTGAGAGACTTGAAGGAAAACTGCTAGTTATTGGATATAAATCCCCAACGCTATTACATCTCATGAGAAGACTCCCCATCCATAAATCCTTCACAGAAAACCCAAAAGGATCAAACTCAACAGTGACATGATTATCAATAGTAAAACGACGGACAGAGACTAGATTTTTAATTATTTTTGGTGCATGGAGAACATTAGATAAACATAAAGGAGGGTGGGGTGGTTTAAGGTAAGCATGCCCATAAGCATGCCCATATACCCTGCAATGGGTTATTTTCTGGTCCACTACCAACATAACATCGGATTATTTTTACTGCTCAAATTAAAATAGACGAGAGAGTACCTGAAGAAGATGTCATATGCGAGGAGTAGCTCCTGTGTCCATGAGCCAAGGTTCTTCAAGTGCCGCATTGAGAGACATACTTTTGCATAGCAGCATCAATGTCCGTAGGTGGGTAGCCAAAGAAGATGCTGAGCCAGTATAGGCCTGCGGTGGACGAGAACCAAGTATGCCAGGTTGACGAGCAGATGGGCGTGCCCAAGCAGTGGTTGGATAAGGGATAAGGACATGGTGGAGGAACAGCCCAAGCTTGCTGCCCCCATGCAGGCCAAGGAGGATAAGCCGACCAAGGATAATAAGGTGGTTGTTGCTGATGAGAAAAATTATTGTTAAATCGCTGCCCACCTGATTGATTATTTCCTTGTCGATTAGAGCCAGAATTCTGATTGCTATTATTATTTCGTCCTCTGCCGCGTCCATTATTGCCTCTCCCGCAATAATTATGAGTGTTGCGAGACTGTCCTCTACGTTGCCCAGTATAATTACGAGGAGCAGTATTGGTGTGGTCTGAAATAGCAACACGAGAAGAAGAAGAATTTTCCTCAGTAACACCTGTAGTAAAAAGTGCAGTGCCAGTGGCAGCAGAAGCAGTGGCAGCCTGCTTAGGTGGCAAGGCCTGCTGTAGCCTGTGCGTGGTTCTTCCAAGAATCAAGTTTTTGATCGTGCTTCATAAAAGCAGAGGCAACGGGTCACTTTGCTTGAATTATGGTTTGCTAAAAACATCATAAGCCTCATTAATCCAGCAATCAATGAAAGAACAAGCGTTGGTTTTTTTTGAAAACAGGGGTCTACACATTTGAAAAGCTGATCGGAGAAGGCAATTTGAG